GCATATGTGGAGAACTGCGACACATGTACACTTCAACATTTTAAGGTCATAGAAAGTCATAGACCAAGGTGGGGTCAATTAACTTCTGAATAGATATAAAATGCTGTGACGTGATTAGAGTGTAATTAGAAAGCTGGTGTTGGGTTATGCGACGGATACATCGATCGTAGAAAACTCTTAGCACCATCAACTACGGTGGCTCAGCCACGTTGTACGCCTGCCGAATCATAGGCTACCAAGACAAGTGTCGTGCTCCGCGCTCCACTCAGAATGGTGCAAACTGCGAGGCGGGTAACATGGGACCTAGCGGAAAGGTTTGAAAGATCACGAAAATGTTTTTGTGTTGTTCGAGTGATCCACCTGCCAGGATTGAGATCTTTGTGCTCCGTCGATGACCCCGCAGGAAGTGACGGATGTCAGTTTCAATTTAGAGAGCGAGGTGTACACCCCCTAAAGTGCTTGGTGTAGACCAGCACCGAGTATCTTACTCATTTTAGGGTTTTGAATACAAAATGTAAACTTTGTGGCTGTGTAGTAGTGAAGCCTTAGTGTCTACATTGATGTAGCAGTCAACAATGATAGTGATGAGTGACCTAGATAACAGGGGCTGACGACCAATACAACGTTCGCTATTTTGCACTAACACCTTTCAGTCACGTGCAAGTGTCACACACCTGCAGCGTTCATTACAGGCAACCAACACTTTCTGTCGCTTACTCGAGCAGGCTGTTTGAAACACCCAGGCGCACCTGAAAACGTGTTACCCAGTGCGGGAAGCTCGTGACACTGTTGTTATTGGTCAGCCCTCCCATAAGAAAACAATCCTACCGAAAAAAATGCCCTTATCCCTGTTTACTGTGGACGGTGGTGCATGGAACCACATTGACTCCATCACACAAACACGCGAGCATACTTGGTTCGGTAAACCTACCTGCAGCAGAGAAGTGATGATAGCTTGCCAGGTACGACCACTCCCTGGTCCACTGATCAACAGGTAGTAACCACTGTTCGCGGTGCGGCAATAACTAGCCAGGTGACGAACACAATCAGCCAAACGAACCGCCTGGTCCAAACTAGCGGAGAGCAATGCCATCCAGCGAGTTGCATTGAAGTGATCGTTCCACGAAGACCGGTGTGGACTACATTCAGCAGCCACAGAGCTGAGTTTACGCTGTAGAGGAACCCCATGCTTGAGATTGTTGGGTACAGAATGGGAAGACGACTTCTCTTCGGAATCGTTTGGGTAAGTAACCGAAAGTGTGGATAAGCGTAGTGAAGGAGAAGACGGTCGATGACCGACCAAATTACGACGAGTCACTTCTGGGGTCATACAGATAGACCCAGCGGAGCTTTGAACAGTTGAGAGATGTCGTTTGGAATATCCCGTAAAATCATCCAACGTGTTTATAGACACTTGGCTCTTGGAAAGACTCAAATTTGGTGTTTCTCTTTCACCAGACGGAATGTGAAGTTGTGGCAACCTAGCAAGGTTACCGAGCTTAACCCAGGCTTGTTCTACGGTTTTGGCCGAGGGTGTGGGCCAAGACATATTGGAACTACAATCCTGACAGTCTTGAACATCTGTANGTGTTCCGAAAAAGGGGCATATGTGGAGAGCTGCGACACATGTACACTTCAACATTTCAAGGTCATAGAAAGTCATAGACCAAGGTGAGGTCAATTAACTTGTGAATACATATAAAATGCTGTGACGTGACTCGAGTGTAATTAGAAAGCGGGTGTTGGGTTATGTGACGGATTCATCGATCGCAGAAAACTCTTAGCACCATCAACTACGGTGGCTCAGCCACATTGTACGCCTGTCGAATCATAGGCTACCAAGACAAGTGTCGTGCTCCAATCAGAATGGCGCAAACTGCGAGGCGGGTAACATGGGACCTAGCGGAAAGGTTTGAAAGATATCACGAAAATGTTTTTGTGTTGTTCGAGTGATCCACCTGACAGGATTGGGATCTTTTTGCTTCGTCGATGACCCCGCAGGAAGTGACGGATGTCAGTTTCAATTTAGAGAGCGAGGTGTACACCCCCTAAAGTGCTTGGTGTAGACCAGCACCGAGTATCTTACTTACTCATTTTAGGGTTTTGAATACAAAATGTAAACTGTGGCTGTGTAGTAGTGAAGCCTTAGTGTCTACATTGATGTAGCAGTCAACAATGATAGTGATGAGTGACCTAGATAACAGGGGCTGACGACCAATACAACGTTCACTATTTTGCACTAACACCTTTCAGTCACCTGCAAGTGTCACACACCTGCAGCGTTCATTACAGGCAACCAACACATTCTGTCGCTTACTCGAGCAGGCTGTTTGAAACACCCAGGCGCACCTGAAAACGTGTTACCCAGTGCGGGAAGCTCGTGACACTGTTGTTATTGGTCAGCCCTCCCATAAGAAAACAATCCTACCGAAAAAAATGCCCTTATCCCTGTTTACTGTGGACGGTGGTGCATGGAACCACATTGACTCCATCACACAAACACGCGAGCATACTTGGTTCGGTAAACCTACCTGCAGCAGAGAAGTGATGATAGCTTGCCAGGTACGACCACTCCCTGGTCCACTGATCAACAGGTAGTAACCACTGTTCGCGGTGCGGCAATAACTAGCCAGGTGACGAACACAATCAGCCAAACGAACCGCCTGGTCCAAACTAGCGGAGAGCAATGCCATCCAGCGAGTTGCATTGAAGTGATCGTTCCACGAAGACCGGTGTGGACTACATTCAGCAGCCACAGAGCTGAGTTTACGCTGTAGAGGAACCCCATGCTTGAGATTGTTGGATACAGAATGGGAAGACGACTTCTCTTCGGAATCGTTTGGGTAAGTAACCGAAAATGTGGATAAGCGTAGTGAAGGAGAAGACGGTCGATGACCGACCAAATTACGACGAGTCACTTCTGGGGTCATACAGATAGACCCAGCGGAGCTTTGAACAGTTGAGAGATGTCGTTTGGAATATCCCGTAAAATCATCCAACGTGTTTATAGACACTTGGCTCTTGGAAAGACTCAAATTTGGTGTTTCTCTTTCACCAGACGGAATGTGAAGTTGTGGCAACCTAGCAAGGTTACCGAGCTTAACCCAGGCTTGTTCTACGGTTTTGGCCGAGGGTGTGGGCCAAGACATATTGGAACTACAATCCTGACAGTCTTGGACATCTGTATCGGGAGGTCGAACAGAAACCCTTAACTGCTTTTCGTTTGTTCTTGGAATAAACCTCCAGTGGGAATCTTTCAGAGTAGGCACAAACCAGCGAGAGGGAGATTCGAAGCCATTGTTGGAAGAAATATTTCGGGTCAATACATCGGATGTGGAACGTGAGCGGAAATTTCGTAAATTTGCTTGAGACGAGTCGATTAGGGAACCCGAGAGGTCTTTGAAAGACGTTTCATCCAATTGGATATGGACCAAGCGTATGGGCAGAACATGGGGAGGAGTATCACAGTTGATTATTGTTCTGACGTCGACGGAGGACTCAACGTGGCCAGACCGAAGTACCCAAACATTTGGAGGTGGGTTTTGCTCAGTCAGAGCAGCATTCTTTTTGTACAGGTAGGAGAGCATCGGAAATCGGTTACCTTCGAAGTACGTTCGGGCCCCAAGAAGCTGGAATTCAAACAAAGGATGAATAAGCATGAATAGACGAATCACTCTTATTGACGACAACACTAACAGCATACTCCCACCGAATACTGGCACTCAGCTGCCCTACAACCAAGAGGAGAAAGCACGCTGAAGAGCGGGAGAAGGGGTTGAGGATTACGAACAACGAATGGACGAAAATCTGGCAAAGAGCAACGGTCCCCGCCAGGGCGCCCAGCCATTTGCAGTGAGAACCATGTGAATTACGATCAAGAGTGGGCATCAGATTCGAAAAGACCACATTTGGTCTCCGTTGCTTCCTTGTAGGAACTTATATGGGTTCAACATCACATTTGAAGTGGATTGTATCGATAAGCCGGGGAAAACTGTGGAGCTCGCGCATCATTGTTGCCGTGTGAATCTCACAAATCCCTGAGGAGACCAGAATCTGTGATTCTCCTGCGAGTAGCTGGGCACTATGCTAGTCGGTTATAGGGGACTAAAACGCAGTATGGTTAATTCAAAGGCAAACACTATTGAGTACCACTCATCCTTCAGTCACACGCTTCATTCTATTTGACCGGACGTTGACTAGCACCTCAAGCGATAATTTCTTGGGCTGAAGGTCCGATTGACTTGTTTTCATTTCTGAGCAAATTTGTTGTGCCCTACGACAAGAAAGTCTGGGGCCACCTATTTACTCGATCGTAAATTAATCAATATTGGATGGAAAGAAAGGACTTTTTGTCAGTCAGTGACGACCAACAGTGGAAAACATATCTAGAATCTACAGAAATGTGCCATGAGATAACTGACATGAAAGCACAGTAAAAGTCGGAAAGTGGGCACGAAAACTCATATCACCGTCCGGTCAAGCGCTTTGTCTGATGTATTCCGACCATTTGATTTCGAAGCATTCATGAATGATTTTCTATTTCTGCTGAGCCTGGAAAAACGAAGTGAGATGGCGCAAACGTGGCACTTTCTCGGTGCACAGCCGGCGCGCAACTCGGAGGCCCGAGGGCCACGTTCTCCGAGCGTAGACAAGAGTAGTGGAAAAGCCAGGGTTGGGTTCCGGCCAGTAGTTTCACGCCTTAATTGATGAGCCATCTTGATCTCCGAATGAAGGTTGGTGTTCACCAAACGCCGACCAGACAGCCTGGGCCAGTATCAACACTGCCCTTTGGATGCCAAGAGGCCACTTGTCAGTTTTGCACTCACTTGTTCTCAATAAGCTGATGTGTTCCTTGTTGATGAGTCTTTTTCTGACAATAAGGCAGTAAAGCAGGGACAGCAGTTGGTCCGACATCCCTTCCGCACCGTTTTAAGGCCACAGGCTACTTGGTTTTCAGGGTCACTGACTTTGGTACCTATGTACGCTAAGCCCGCTGTGTCTTCGATCGAGTTGGAACACTGCTTTATGGTAATTCCTTATACCGAGATATTCCCAAAAACGATGCCGTCCGTAACAGCATTTGAAAAGCGACTTCATTTACGGGTGCTGCTACGGAGAGAGTATTTCCCGGAAGGGATCAATTCTAGATTCATTGTGGTCGTAAAAAGGTTTCCCTCAGAGGAGACCATGTCCGATTTTGAGGCGGTCCCCCTAGCGGGGTTGACTGTGTTTAGAATTACATGTACCAAGTTGGTCAACTGAACGACACAACAAACAACTGTCACGGCAAAACAGTAAACGAGAACGCACTTGCATATCATACATCTGAAAAAAGAAGAGGAAAAGCAGTGGTTAGGGAAACGACCGATTCAAACTGAGTCGATAATGCATTCATGGGAAGGATTTTCGAACGATTCTGAGTCGATAATGCATTCATGGGATTTTCAGTGGTACACAGTAAATCGAGAGACCGGGATGATTCAAAGGTGATTAGAACGAAATCAAAACATAAGTATGAAGAAGAGATTAGCTTTTGAGAAAAGACTGCAGCTCCCGGACGAGATACGGGAATGTATTGTTGCTGAACGACGATGATGTCCGTGCAGATAAGTCTGAACTTTGGAGTGGGATAAATAGCTCTGAGCAGATGGGTATGCGGAGTTCGGGCGACATCGGAAAACCCATAACGCGCATTAACATATCTGCAACTACTGCAAGCAACAAGATGATTCCTAGTCATTTCACTTTATTTGGCCAAAAGTCCACACAATCGGAATCTTATTGTTTTCTCCGCGGTCCGGGATGAACGCACAGAAAGGTGCACGAGGTGATAAAAACTGCGGTGATATTAAGGGGAACGGCAAGATCTTTGAATCTGAATGAGTAAAGACAAAGCTCCCCCGAGCGAGAGCTTGTTTTGGGGAATAGCGAGATAGTTGGATGCAGCTAAGAAACAGGAGTTATTCGTCAACTGCCAGAACAGAAAGAACATGGAGTAGAGAGTAGCAAACTGTGCGAATTCGAAAGCTAGATAGAGATTTAAGACAATTATGGATACTGTTGGTGGTGAGGGGGTTAGGGACTTTCAACTGCGATTTCGTCCTGCATGTGAAGCCGATCTACGCTGAAAAACCGAGAAATGCTGTGCAACTCTTCCATCCTTATTAGGAATCGTCAGTAGTGTGCACGCATCTCAAGAAACACCAGAGTTTCGAACCCGCGACCTTCTGGCAAGCAGTTTGAACATACCCTTAAGGCCACGGGCAGCTGGTCGGCAATGTGACGAACTCGCATTTAAACAATGACATTTCAGTGAGGATGGACATACTGATCACTAAGGAACTAAATACACAACGCAGGTTGGGTAAGTCACCGAGTGGCCAGGACGCCAATTTTTGTTGCATGCTAACTTTCCAATATTATCTGTGGTCGCCTCACTTGCAAGCTTTTTCCTGTTCCGTTGTGTGTATAAGATTAGAGAGTTTTCAGATAATGTTAGCTACACTGGCACACTTCACTTCTACAGCTTCCTAATGCCACCACCAGGCTTCTCTGTCTGCATGGAGACTAAGCTTAAGTTGAAGTTGAGTGTGCAAAGGTATCAGGAAGCGATAGTGGCTACTCGGAGGTTCAATCCTATTGGCTGAACGTTCAGAACACAAAATGAAAGTACCGTAACTGAGCTTCTTATATCTCCAATGTATATATGTTACCGCTTAAAAACTAGGCGAGGCACAAGAAATATTTGTGAACTTGCTTTGCTAACGGCATCAGAGGCTAGTTTCACTGAAGTTGAGCGGGTGCGTGTACGAGGTGATCATAAGAGAGGTCTTGTTCTACGACTGTGAGTACCTAAACGTTTGATCACCAGTGACATGAAACGTCCACAATGCGCTCGCAATGAAGTAGTGTAACCAAGTAAAGAATCAGAATCACAGTTGCAGCAACTAAAACTCATTAAGTGAGGGCGGTTCGGACCTGTACCCCACACGCCCAACTACCGTCTATCAGAGGAGGCACTGTTTTCTGCTCCAAACTCATATTGGAAAAACATCCGCGAGCGACAAGCCTCGTGAATGGAAACCGACCACTGTTAAGCTGGGCACTGTGCTTGGAAACCCCACAGCACGTGGCATGTAACCAATCTCAGTGGCGAGAAATCTGGGAATTCTTTGTCTGACTGTCTAGATAAGGTATTCCCGTCCTTGTAGGTGCCTTATGTCGGGTAAGAGTAGCGCAAGGAGCGTTGGGTCAATCCCACTGACGGCGGTTGCTGTTTATAGGTGCAGGCACCTGGTTCTCGATTGTTTTCCATAGAGAGAAGGCCTCAGCAAGAAAAAACAACTATATTTGCAGAAACTGTATGATAGACCACAGTTCATAGTCTGTAGTACTGCAGGCTCGACCACTGTACTAATATTTCGTATCTAAGTTTCGGAAATTCATCCGGCATTACTGGGCTGTCAGGGGTACTCAGTCTATACACACCACACATAACGCCGCCACAATCAAATTTCTACGGACCGCAGTGAACTTAATCAATGCTGACAAAAACCCATTAGCTTGCGAAATAAAAAAAAGTTCACTCCGGTAGGCGACATTGCATTGTTTTGGCAGAAGAACGTCACCAAAAAGAATGTCCACACACACACACACGCAGGATGAGCATGTGCCACTCAGATGAAGAGATATCTGGTCGGCTGACCAGCTCGCCTTACATTCTCTTCAGAACTGAACCTGAATTGCACGTGTCTGTCTACAACTCCAACCATATTTAGCGAATGAAAAAAGTAAAATCATTCACACCCGATCATTAGACGGACCAAAAAAGTAGTGTAGAGAAAGAAATATGTGGGCGAATTGTGATGGTAGAGTTCAGGATGTGTGTTGTTGGTATACCTGTTGATCACTAGTTGACTCAGGAAGGCTTTTGGCGCCTATAGTGTCGGCTTGAAGTCCAATTCCGCGGTTCACTAAAACTTGTTTCGGCGAGAAAATTTACGAGGATCTATGGTTTGGTTATCGGGTCCCTCAGGCAGCGCCCGGATCCGATGGAAATACCAGCTAGGTGATGTCGAGTTTTTTTTCGAAGAAGTCCTCTTTCAGTGGTTACATTTCATAGACCGCACTGATTGAACCGTCTACTTCACAAGGCCTATTTTCCTAGCCATGTGCAAGGCGAGACTGACCGAAAGGCGGCATGGCAACGAGGTGTGGAATTCACGACTCGCAAACTGTGTTCATCGAAACTGTTGCCTACTTGGATAAAGACCCGAGAGGCGTCATGTTGACACGGCCAAATTACATAGCTAATGGTGCTTTTGCTGAGCTGTCCAACTTCATGAGATAACTGCAACAATTCAACAGTGAACTCGTTAGGATATCGCACGTACTAAGTGACTATCCTCCCTTAATCCTCGATAGACTAAAGCGAAATGGTCAAAACCTACCCGCCATTCGTACACGGTTCTACTGCTGTACGAACAGAACATATGACGATCAATCCTATGTAAAATCATTGATATCATACAGGAAAACTCAAGTGGGAAGTGATGGGCAAACGAGAATCTACCGAGGACCCATTATTAAGTGAATCCCAGTTCGATCGATGAAACATTCTACAAGCTGATGCGAGACCGAACTCACCACACGCTTCAAGGGGACCGAGGGGACTCGCAGTGGATATGTTCGGCAAAAAGAAAACTTCGTGTTTTCCACCCAAACACAGTCATCCGGATTGAAGTGGTCCCAGTTCTGATGAAGACGATGTATTGGATGGACGGGATTACGGTTAATTGGCTGCAAGGGGGGGGGTGAAAAACGAAGAACGTGAAGAACCGCAATATCTGAGGCCCATGTTCATCCTAGATGATTTCCTCGGGATCACGAGGTGAATATGAGGGAGATGTATATGATTCTTGAGAAGAGACTACATTACATAGAATTCTTTTCAAGCAGTGGTTAGGGGACGGTCAGGCTATAAATCATCAGCAAAATAAATAGGAACATGTGAAAATTAAACCATTCAGATGTAGCGCTATTCTGGTTCACAGACGTCATACAACGAGGAGGCATGAGGGCTGATGTATTGCCATAATGTCCGAGGAAAGACGGGGAAAAGGCGAAAATTCTCCGACCACCTAACCCTAACCTCCCAGACTCAGCGGCCCTCAGCACACAGTCGCTCCAACACAACTCAGAGTGATAATGTCGAATATTGACCCAACTCTACTTCATACAAACAAGGGCATCATTGATAAGGCTACCATCTTCAAGATAGTGCTATCCTCTTCGTCCTAACTCTGTCGTCGTAAAGTGGAGCGTGGAGGTCTGCAGAGCATATTTACCGTTGTTACCCTTAGTCCCAATGGTTCTATCTCCCTCGCTCACTTCCCCAACTTGAGCTGGTCACTATCCTACCGTGTTTAGGACGAGGCGAAACAAAGTGTGTTGACGTAATAGTTGATGAAACAATGGAACGAAGGTAAGCGTCCCGTCATACAGGGCTTTGATGTCGGTTTGGTGTCTGGACTACAGTGGACCAGGCATTATGCGGTTACGTGGGGGAATTTGATGTCAGACTAAAAAACAACACAACATTCGAGTAAGCGACTGACGAAAGACCTCGTGCTTTGTTTTTATCAATGGGGCCACTTCCAATCGTGAAAAGGCTGGGCCTGACAGATTAGGAAGTCGATCCGCCGATTGTGTGGCTGCGATCAGTAAGCAAAGGCTGACGAGTTAATCTCAACTACTCACATATTACTGATGTAATTGTTCCGAAGAACATACAAACAGGGGGAATCAATGAACGAACTCTACTGGGGATCACATGCCGGTGATGAATTTGATCCAGATCGGGAGATGTTCGCCGCTTTAATGCAACAAGTGGTTCGCATGGGCCGTGGTGTGGAGCTCCGGTCAAGTTGTCTGGAGACGTGTTGAAACGCACACCTTATGGTCCAGTGACTGGATTGCACTGTCAGACAGTCTAGCAATATTATCCCTGTAGTCCAACTGGTATCTGCCTTTCTCGTAGAGTCACGATAATGTCTATGACAAAATGCAAGGAAAGGAGTGACACCTTCTTAAGTTCCGTCACGAAGAGACCGGGCCATACCGTGGTGCCACGGTCTGAGTACTTCAGTAACCCATTGACACAAAGTGGTGGATGCTGGAGTAGTAGTCGCACAATCTCTTCTATCAAGTCGGTCATTCGATAGAGGTCTGATAAACACAATCCCCAGACACTCTAAGTCTGAGGCTAGAGCAAGTGTGGCACTTCTTTAACTAAAATCTGGACTATTCACATGGTCAAATGCCAACCACTGATACCTTGCGGTCATACTTTTCAGCCAAAGGCTCTGACTAAGGACCTTAATCGTCCTGCTGTCTGCGTTTTGGCGCCGTGACGGTATCTCGGCCTGCACACAGCCAAGAACGTTACAATACTTAGGCAGTTAAGCACGAGTACTACCTATGTATTTTTGTCAATGATGATTATGGCGATGACACAGTCGTACGGCGCAAAGATTTCCGCAGTCTTGTATCTGGCACATTATTTCTGCTATGGAGACGAGCTGGAGGAATAGATGCAACTATAAAAACAAACTACACAGAGCGATTTGCTCAGGAAAACCTAAAAAGGGAACGAATCTTCCTGAGCCCTTGTCTCACAGAATGCCTGATAAACGCCCGATTCGCAAAGCAATTACATCCAACACTTCATCAAAATTCTCCAGCCGCGAAACCCAGTCCCCTGATGGCCACAAAACGAACAACTGTTCACTCGTCCTGAGGACTAACCGTAGGTCCATATTCAAGACAAGGCGGGTCTGTTGTGATCGTTATGCAACGGTGTATGTTGGACCAACGATGAGGCAGATGTGCAATGGGAAGCAAGAGCCTAAATGTAATAAACTAAGCAGCAAAGCTAGAGAATCAATTACCAGTGTTTTCGCAATGCATCTAATCGATTCAGGTCACATGGGCAAGCCGGCAGCTACTACTAACAAAGGCGAAGCGTTTGAGATAGCCCCATGGTCGAAACACGAACTTACTGACCCAGCCTCCGCATCTCGACTGCTCCTGTCGAGGCTCGGACAACCTAAGAGTGCTTTCTTCGGTTGATAGGGTAGTTAGTCACCGAAATGGTGTTACAGCTGAACGATTATTTTCATTACTCATAACAGCGATACTCGAGTCTGATCCCCATTTGATACGGACTCATCGGAGGAAGCGGAGGACTGTTTAAACTAAAGTGATGTAAGCGTGAACATTAAGTGGCAACCGAACTGTCACCGTCTATCTACCACCGGGGCCGTGTCGATTTGTTTGTGCAAACTAGAACCAGAACCCGCTTTGTGACCGTGAGAAAAGAACGTTGTGTTCTGATCCATTCAGGGATTTCCGTACATTCAACTTGATTGACTGTACAAGCGGTCCCTTTGCTGTACACCTAGACACAAAGTCACAGCACTGACCACAGTTTTCATCATTTGTATTGAATGGGAGTGTCTCGTTATTACCGTCATCATCATCGTCGATAGCACACCAGTGTTGAACACTGGTCTGCCTTTCTCGTAGAGTCACGATAATGTCTATGACAAAATGCAAGGAAAGGAGTGACACCTTCTTAAGTTCCGTCACGAAGAGACCGGGCCATACCGTGGTGCCACGGTCTGAGTACTTCAGTAACCCATTGACACAAAGTGGTGGATGCTGGAGTAGTAGTCGCACAATCTCTTCTATCAAGTCGGTCATTCGATAGAGGTCTGATAAACACAATCCCCAGACACTCTAAGTCTGAGGCTAGAGCAAGTGTGGCACTTCTTTAACTAAAATCTGGACTATTCACATGGTCAAATGCCAACCACTGATACCTTGCGGTCATACTTTTCAGCCAAAGGCTCTGACTAAGGACCTTAATCGTCCTGCTGTCTGCGTTTTGGCGCCGTGACGGTATCTCGGCCTGCACACAGCCAAGAACGTTACAATACTTAGGCAGTTAAGCACGAGTACTACCTATGTATTTTTGTCAATGATGATTATGGCGATGACACAGTCGTACGGCGCAAAGATTTCCGCAGTCTTGTATCTGGCACATTATTTCTGCTATGGAGACGAGCTGGAGGAATAGATGCAACTATAAAAACAAACTACACAGAGCGATTTGCTCAGGAAAACCTAAAAAGGGAACGAATCTTCCTGAGCCCTTGTCTCACAGAATGCCTGATAAACGCCCGATTCGCAAAGCAATTACATCCAACACTTCATCAAAATTCTCCAGCCGCGAAACCCAGTCCCCTGATGGCCACAAAACGAACAACTGTTCACTCGTCCTGAGGACTAACCGTAGGTCCATATTCAAGACAAGGCGGGTCTGTTGTGATCGTTATGCAACGGTGTATGTTGGACCAACGATGAGGCAGATGTGCAATGGGAAGCAAGAGCCTAAATGTAATAAACTAAGCAGCAAAGCTAGAGAATCAATTACCAGTGTTTTCGCAATGCATCTAATCGATTCAGGTCACATGGGCAAGCCGGCAGCTACTACTAACAAAGGCGAAGCGTTTGAGATAGCCCCATGGTCGAAACACGAACTTACTGACCCAGCCTCCGCATCTCGACTGCTCCTGTCGAGGCTCGGACAACCTAAGAGTGCTTTCTTCGGTTGATAGGGTAGTTAGTCACCGAAATGGTGTTACAGCTGAACGATTATTTTCATTACTCATAACAGCGATACTCGAGTCTGATCCCCATTTGATACGGACTCATCGGAGGAAGCGGAGGACTGTTTAAACTAAAGTGATGTAAGCGTGAACATTAAGTGGCAACCGAACTGTCACCGTCTATCTACCACCGGGGCCGTGTCGATTTGTTTGTGCAAACTAGAACCAGAACCCGCTTTGTGACCGTGAGAAAAGAACGTTGTGTTCTGATCCATTCAGGGATTTCCGTACATTCAACTTGATTGACTGTACAAGCGGTCCCTTTGCTGTACACCTAGACACAAAGTCACAGCACTGATCACAGTTTTCACCATTTGTATTGAATGGGAGTGTCTCGTTATTACCGTCATCATCATCGTCGATAGCACACCAGTGTTGAACACTGGTACCTCACTCCCGTACAACTATTGAAAGCCTTATTGTGAAGAAAAGAATGAAAGTGGATCGGGAAGGGATCTAGTGCCGGGGTGTTTGCACCTTCAAACACTCATTCAGACGATCGAGGTTGGATACAGCGCACGGATGATGTCACCTCGACTAGTGACGGAACGTTTCCAAGCTAACTGCCCAACTCAGCAAACAGATTAACCACTAATTTTCGTAATCTTCTTCACATCCCTCTACCATATCAAATACTGGTCACTCCTCTGCTCACATTAGACACGGAAGACAGAAACCTTCGGCAAACGATGATTCGGCATGTGCAACACGGTCTACCAACCGCAACTTTGGGTGCTGGATGAATAAGTCCCTACAATAAAACCGAATACTCGTTTTCAGATTATCTAGTTGCAGATTCACAGCATCGACTTACACGAGTTGTGGTTCTGAGATGATGGTTGCCGGAAACCGGAAGACGTCTCAGATCCACTGAATGACAGTATCTAATGGGCAACACTGGAAATCCTATTTAGGATATGTACTAATAAGTTTCTAAGAGATTGGTGTCAAATATACATGAAAGGGCGAAACAAGACTATTCGGACGCCTCAATCGACATAGTCGATTCAAGAAGAGCTTTGATTTCACCACAAAACCTACGAAAATCGTTTTGCAATAATTTTAGTT